GGCCATCACAGTCGAAATTTTCATTACAAAATAAAAAAGACAAAGAAGTGAGTAAAATACAATTATGAAAACATGTTGAGCTTTACAACTTCAAATCTAATTCTTATCATTTGTTATCCAAGTCTTCTCGTGCGGTGATTGTGTTCCATTTGCATCTGCCAACTTACAGTCATAACATCTCCAGCCTCATTTGTCTCATTTTTTTATTTATTTATTTTACTTTTATCACCTTGTCTCTTAAATGACCTGACTGGTTTCATGCCTTGTTTCTGGCTGAGGTCTGAGGCTACATGTTGAAGGCAAAAATGGACAAAATAAACACAACGCGTGCCTCAAAGGTGTGATATTCTGTGGGATCCTGTTTATAGTTTCAACATGAATAATTGATTAATGCAGGGAACCAGCTACTTTTTAACTGGTGATGCCCCTTTCAAAACTCCTGTCAGAAAAATGTTAAAACTTGTTTTTTTTTAAACAAAAGTGTAAATTCAAACCATATTTACTTTGTCCTTATTTTACAACTAAATCAACACTTTCCTGTTTATTAGCCGAGCTTCATTAGACAGGTCATTCTGGGACTGACGCGTGTTCTGCACTCAACAATAATATTCTGTTCCATCAAAGCTTAAATAATTGATCACAATTGGCACTTGGGAGTGGCTATTCCGAGTTTTAATGATTCTAGGGTATTGTCATTATGGACTAAGCTTGTTTTAGCACATTTCACCCTTTATTTGACTGAGATTTAGATTTGAAACTATTCTGCAATATGTGAATAAAAATACCTAAACTTCATATGACATGTATGCCTGTTAGTGCTTACACAGTCCACAGTAGTGTTTCACAGTACACCTCAGTACTTTGTTTCATCGGTTCACATTTGTACTTTCTTTGTAAATGAATTCTTTATTCTTATTTATATAGAAATGAAAAAAACTACCACATTTCATAAATACTATAGAAATAAAGAAAAAAAMCCACAAAACACTAGCTTAAACATAAAAAACTTACTATTTCCTGTTATTCCTATAATAAACTACTCAAGAAGGTTCACATATTGTGCTGCAATTAAAGATTTTAATATTGTTTTTTTTCTGTACCAATGAATTTGTATTCTGAGTGACTCTTCGCCATGACTTCAGACAAAAGTTTTCTGATTTAAAGTTTTCTGTCAAAGCCAGAAGATTTCTGACTTTGTGTCAGTTTACTTCAGCCAACCCTCTACTTCCTGTCCTTGTCTATTATTTGTCTTCTTTGCGCTGTCGATCAGCATCAGAAGTCAGTTTTGGCTCAAAAGTGTTGTCATTTTGATCTTTTTTATACTAGCAGAGGCTCTAAAACTATTTCTGTCATGATAAAGGCAAGGACTTACCTTTTAGCTAATGATTTTGTTTTGCCCTCTTCTGTCTTTAAAGCTGCAATCATCTCATAATTACATGTGAACTGTATATTTTAAAGGACATTTTTGGTTTTCTTGTTTCCCAGTGAGGCGTCAGAACATGAAGGTCCGTATCAGCACCAAAGGAGACACCATAGTGATGAAGTTTCTGCACCCGAACACCGACACTAAGCTGGAGGGCTACATCCTGGGCTACGGAAGCAGCATGTTCTCCAAACAGTTCATTCAGCTGCCTGAGAATGGACAGCCATATGAGACAGAGTTTGGTAAGACAAACAACGATAAAAGAAAAAAAAATGCATTTAAATGAGCAAAGACTGAGAGAGCATACACTCTGTGTCTTACATCTGTTTTTAGATGCTGAGCCCAAATACCTTGTAGCTGTCCAGCCCATTCTGACTAATGAGGTGAAAAAGCAATGCACAGGTAACCATCATAAGTAACCATCCCAACTACGTAAAAAGCTTTTTAAAGGTAGTTAGTGTGTCATACTGCAACAGTCTGTGTGGAGTTTGCATGTTAATCTCCTCATGCTATGTTCGTTTTCTCCAAGTGCTCCTGTTTCTATTTTTATTGAACAAGAGGCACGTCAGTTTTAGGGTGCATACATCCAGCCTTGTCTAGTTTGCGTTATTCGAACTCTAGTTCATTTGTCTAGAAAGTTTGGTTTGTTTGGGGATATGTGAATGTGTGATCAAACTCTGATACAAACCAAAAAAAAGCAAACTCTGGTCCACATACAAACTTAAGTCTCAGTTTGGTTAAAGTGAACTCTGGTGGGGTTCGAATGTCAAGCGGACTGGAGACCACTCCAAAAGGTAGGAAGTGGCAACAGTGACAACAGCACAGGGCATTCTGGGTAAATACAGCTAAAACAATGGTGGCTATGTCTCAATTCATGGGTTGCAGTTGATGTTGGCTGCATTTGTTGGCCACTTGCGTCATTGTAAGCTGTCCCAATTCATAGGCACCTACACATGTGACCGACAAAATTACGAAGATGTCGGCTGCATCTGAGCATCCAACGCAGCCAACGGTATCCCAGAATTCATTGCAATGTCAGCAAATTAAACAGAAAAACAAAGATGGGAAGTTTTTTTATAATTATTTTATGGCAGATTTTTTTATAGTGACGAAGTTTGGAATTTTATCATGGACCAAAAAATGTGAGTTAGACAGCTTAGCATTTCATTGGAACTTTTGTTGCAATGATGTTAAATAAAATGCATACAAATACTGATACTAGAGCTAAAAACAAATAACAGCGGGTAAAATAAGTATTGAACAYGTCACCATTTTTCTCAGTAAATATATTACTAGAGGTACTAATGACATGAAATTTTCAACCGATGTCGGTAACAACCAAGTGATCCATACATACAAAGAAATCAAACCATAAATGTCCAGAAATGAAGTTATTTGTAATAATGTGGAATGGCACAGGGAAAAAGTATTGAACACATGATGAAAGGGAGATTTAAAAAGGCATGGAAAGAAAAGACACCAGC